GTGGTAGAGTGCTAGCCTTGAGCTGAAGAGCTGAGGGACAGCGCCCAGGCCCAGAGTTCAGGCCCACGACCAGACCCAAAAAAAAAAAAAGAAAAATACATACATACCAAAATTATTTAGGTCAATTATATTCCTCAATGGGCCAACCATACTATCCCAGAGATGAGGCAACTTCACTGCCATTTCCCCACCAAAATGTTTCACTATAGTTGTCAAGGCAAATTCAGCTCCTCTTCGTTGTACCAGGTAAGGCTTCTGGGCCTTAAATGTTAGTTGAAATGAGAATTTCAGAAAGCTACATAATGCATTTAAAATTTTATCAAGATAACTGAAAATCAACACCTAAGAATTGTTTCTATTAATCAATAAATTATTGGATATATACATATATAGGTACACATATTTTCCAATAATTAAAATTATACAGGCCAAAAACTCCTAGATTTTTCTGTCCATGGTAAAATACTTTTTTTCTTGGGCTGAGGACAGACAATAGAAATATATGTGCTGTTCCAGAGACAGCCCCTAAATTGTTTTTTCTTAATTTTCCCCACCCCTAAAAAAATTAGAAGATAAAAGATGAAATGGCATATCCTTATCTATGCTCATTTAAAGCACATAATAACATGTTTAAGCTGTCCCCAAGCTTAGTAACTTATTCAACAATATTTAGACACAAACCTTTGCCCTGCCTGCCAAGAACAAACCCTTTCTCACATTCCTCTCTTGCGTATTTTAATTCAAGTAGAAAAAGAGCTGTGAAAAGTAGCAGTGTAAATACCAAGATGACAGTAAATTTTTGATGAAAATTATTGTGGTAAAATATAGACAAGAAAAAGCCTTCACAGAATGTTTTAAAATGCAGATGTTATTTTTTAAAGAAACTTGAAATAGACTTGTATTAAGAACTAGTCATAGGGCTGGGAAGGTGGCTCAGTGGTAGAGCGCTTGCCTTGCATGTGTGAGGCCCTGGGTTCGATTCCTCAGCACCACATAAGCAAAAAGAAAAAAAGACCGAAGTGGCGCTGTAGCTCAGGTGGTAGAGTGCTAGCCTTGAGCTGAAGAGCTGAGGGGCACTGCCCAGGGCCCAGAGTTCAGGCCCCAGGACTGGACCAAAATAAAAAAAAGAAAGAACTAGTCATCGTAGTCAATTTACTGCTGAACCCACATGGGTTCCTATAGCTTGCCATGAAGCGAATAAAACATTCATTTCATTGTAATAATATAAGCAGGGGGTGGCTAGTAGTAAAGTGCTTGCTTAGGCCAAACTCCAGGTTTGTCCCCAGAACCACAACAATGAGAATGATAATACTGTGTAACTTTCAAAACTTTTTAAAAATTACTCTCAGAAGAGGAATTCTGATAGGATAAAGAAAAGCTAGTTTAATATCTCTTATTATCTTCTAGAATCATGTTTAATATAATTTGACTCATATCTTCTTTACAGTTAGTGCTTTAGGAATTCATTCACTTATGTTTATGAATACTTTAGGTACCCACTATCAAGGGTTCTTTGCCTAGGAAGATAAAAGCTGGTACAAATGACAAATGAGAAATTTAAAGAAGTATACTACTTTTCTCAACCATGGTGCTAGAGTATTATAAAAGGCTATACCAGTCCTTTCATTTTAAGCACAAAAATACAACCAGAAGCTGGTCAAAGAACTCATCTGTAAGCATCAAAGCTTCAAAGTAAAACACTGCTTACCTCATCAAGTTCAACAAGGATATTCCCACTACTTCCTGCAGGAAAATCTGCTATTTGAGCTTTTACTGCTTTGGGGGTAGGACCTCGCCTACTGGTGATAGCAAATGCAGCTTTCTGATGCCTATACAGTGTAATTATACCTCTGTGTTTGGTGACAGTATGATGCATTCCATCTTTTTCTAAGTTGGATCCTAATAGGGAGAAAAGTTAACCTCTTAATCATATGAGACTAAATACTGTTCTCCAAAAGGGAGAGAACATAATATAAAAGGCCTTAATTTTTATAAACTGGTGATTTTGTTTTAAAATACAAAATGGCAACAAAATAATCTATTTGCTTAGGTTTTTTCCTAACAAGCTATCAAAGTTGTAGAATTAATAAAGCAATAAAGAATATCACATGCAAAAATGACTATATCAACAAAACAAACATTAAAAAATATTTCAAGCAAATTTCCTCTTAAATATTATTGTCATCATGAAACCAGACATTAACCCGTGCAAAATACAGCTGCCTCACATGTCAATAAAGGAGAGGCAACTGGACACTGGTGGATCTCCTCTGTAATCTGAAGATCAGTTTGAAGCCAGACAGGGCAGAAAAGTCCATGAGATTCTTACTTCCAGTTAACTACACAAAAAGCCAGAAATGGAGCTGTGGTACAAGTGATGGAACACTAACCTTCAGCAAGAAAGCTCAGGGACAGTGCAGCCCGAGTTCAAGCCCCAGGACTAGTTAAAAACAAAAAGGTGTGTTGGGGAGGTAGGAGGAGATGCATGACTCTTATTACATTACATATTAACGTGTTAAGTATTAGTTCAAAATATCCTTTGAATTCACATTTTTCAAGATCTACACACATTACTGCAAAGTTGTAGCTCTTTATATTTTGAATAATTTTATTTTCCAAAAATCTTAGCAAAAATAAACTATATGATTGAAAAATCTGAAGGAAAAAACTCCTGTCTACTGAGACCAACCTAATGAAAGGTATCTTCCATGTAAACTTTTCTGGATAAAAAGAAAAGGCTTTACTTTTATCAAGAGTTCACTCATCTGACAAAACAGGCACTAAATTAATGGAAGTCAAACAGTACAGAAAGAGCTTTCATTAACATCTGATTATTTTCTAGCATCATTATTATAAACAACAATAGTTTTCAAGGTGAAGATAAGGGTGAACACATATATAAAAATTTTGAGTGGCCAGTCCTGGGGCTTGAACTCTGGTCCTGGCCCTGGCCCTGAGCTCCTTTTGCTGAAGGCTAGCAGTCTAACACTTGAGCCACAGTGCCACTTCCAGCTTTTTCTGATTAATTGGAAGGTAAGTCACATGGACTTTCCTGCTCAGACTGGCTTCAAATCATGATCCTCAGATCTGTCTCCTGAGTAGCTAGGATTACAGGCATGAGCCACCAGTGTCTACCTAAAGAAACCAATTCTGGTTGGTTTTTTTTTTTTTTGCCAGTCCTGGGGTTTGAACTCTCAGGGCCTGAGCACTGTCCTGGGCCTTTTTGTGCTCAAGACTAATGTTCTACCACTTAGCCACAGTGCCACTTCTGATGTCTTATATATTTGAGTCATCTTACATATCAAATAAGCTATGAATAGTTTATGTATACTTAAGAGGACTGATTGGTAATAAATGCATATTCATGTAACAAATAATTTTTGTTATAACCAAGCATTTTTCTGTCAGAATGGGAAATGGAAAAAATGGCTTTAACATGAACTGGATTTATGGTTAAATTATACCCATATGTATATGAAAAATTTAAATGGTTAATTTCTTCTCTATCCCAAACAAAAGGTTTAGATATATACCTTTAGAATTTTCCTGGCCACTTTGTGTTGGTACAGGACACGTTACACAAGGGGTTAGATATGGATCCACACAAAGTGAACTACAGAGGTTTTTAATAATTTTTGAATTGGGACAGGGTGTCCTTGTTGTGCACTGTTGAAGAAGTTTAGCTATGCACTGAGCTGCATAGTTTTGCACTAGTGTATTCTCTTCTTTTTTAATCGTCTCCATTAGTGGTTTTATGACAGGATTTAATTTCTCTGGAAGCTGTTGCAAACTCACGACTGCACATGCAGCAAAAGTATGTACACGTAACTGCAGCACTTGCCACTCCTGGTTAGTCTCTGTAACTGTCATTTGGACCTGTTGCCGTTTACTATCTAACTGCTGCAACACTTGAGGATTTAAATCAAAGGTCGATGTGACTTCATTAAAAACAGTTGTGACCTAATAAAAGAAAGAAATGAAAAATTATATTACACCAATCCCAAATAGACTGCAACTTCTAATTGGCAGGCAATACATCTTGTCTCACTCATAAGCTCCACAATATCAATGTTGTTTAACTACACAGTAAGCTAAATGAATGACTCACTTTATTCTTGGGCTGGGGATGTGGTGTAGCAGTAGAGTGCTTGACTAGAAAGCAATATATTCTTTAAGAAAAACATATTCTTGCCAGATGCCAGTGGCTCATGCCTGTAATCCTACCTACTCAGGAAGATAAGATCTGAGAATCATGGTTCAAAGCCAGCTGGGGCTTGAACTCAGGGCCTGGGCACTGTCCCTGTGCTCTTTTTTTTACCCCCCCATATTTTTTTAATTGTAAAAATACTGTACAGAGGGGTTACAGTTACATGAGCAAGGTAATGAGTACATTTCCTATTGAGCATTGTTACCTCCTCCTTTGTTTTTCCCCTACCATCCCTTCCCTCCCCACCTCCCCAACTTCTCCCCCACCTCCCTGAAACCATAAAGTTCATTTTCAACATAGTGTCTTGTACATCTCATTGTTACAATGGGTCAACCTATATCATTATTTAAGCATTTTGTTATATCCCTTCCCCTCTCCAAATTATAAAAATGTATATGCAAGATTCAGGATACTGGAATCAGATCCCTGTGCTCTTTTTGCCCAAAGCCACAGTTCCATTTCTGGTTTTCTGGTGGTTAACTGGAGATTAGAGTCTCATGGACCTTTCTGCCCAGCTTGTAATCGCAGATCTCAGCCTCCTGAGTAGCTAGGATTACCAATGTGAGCCACAGGCACCCATCTCTGCTTAATCACCCCCCAAAACCCAGAAGTAGAGGTGTGGCTCAAGTGACAGAGCACTAGCCTTAAGTGAAAAAAGTGAAAGCTGCAGGACCTTAGTTAAAGCCTCAGAACTGTCACAAAAAAAAATACACAACAACAACAAAAACATTTAGGACAGTCATTGGCTAACTGAATAGTTCTTACTAACTGAACTGATTATTTTCATTCTTTCCCTGACCAGTCAATAAGAGGATGATTTAAAAAAAAGAATAAAATTATGCAATAGCCATTATTTTAATTGTCAAGAGTTTTACAAGGCTACAAAGACTGTTTTACTCCTTTAAAACATAATTAAAAGACTGGTCAATTCTTAACAATTTTTTTGAGATAATTCATATGCCATAAAACTAACCTATTCAAAGTGTACAATTCAGCCCCAAAAGAACACATATTCATTAATTCACTTATTTCCATCCAACCCCATGGATGGATGATCCATCCCCAATGATGGAGATCCCTTACCATTCTTAAAGATTCACATAAATGGAATCATAACATATGTAGTCTTTTGTAACTAGTTTCATTAACTTGTTTTCAAAGATCACCTATGTTGTAGCATGTAGAAATACTCAATTCTCCATTTATCAAACGGTATTCTACTATATGACAAATTTTCATAATATGCTTTCCTCTCATGTATCTACAATATCAGTTATTAATATCTGAGTCCTCTCTACCTTTGTCAATTATGAGTAATGATGCTCTGAACATTCATGTACACAAAGATCCTATAATAGTTTGCATATAAAAAATAAGTCCTGTTTGTAAACTACAATATATATATATGTGTGTGTGTATATATATATATATAGATAGATATATATAGATCCAGTCTGAACTTTATTGATCAGAAAAACCAACATCGGACAACAGAACTTTTTAACGAAGAATCAAATTTTGTTGTGTTAAAAAAATGTTTTTCTATTATCACTTTTTCATTTATGTGGTACCGAGGAATCAAACCTAGGGCCTCATACATTCTAGGCAAGAACTCTACCACTAAGCCACATTCTCAGACCTTGTTTGGTTTGTTTTTGCATTGAGTCACAGTTTTACTATAAATCTAGCTCAGACTGACCTGGAACTCATAATCCTCCTGCCTATGGAGTGCTGGGATTACAGGAACATGCCACATGCCATGCCATGTCTATCTGAAACTCTAACTCTGAAGGCCTAGAAATTATCAATTCCATAATGATCAACACTGATAATACTATTAAAAAAAGAAAACCTGAAGAAATACAAAGTAGGCACATACACATACACATTTATCATTTTAAAGTATCCAGGCCTTTAAACTATAGCTGTATGACCATGACAATCTGCTCTATACAAAGGAACAAAAGTTAATTATCATGTTTTTTATTACTATCTTTAGGTAGTTGTACAATGGAGTTCTCATTTAACAAAGCAGTTTATGAATACAATGTATCTTGATCAACAACCCCTTTCAACATTCTCACTCATCCCTCCCCTATTCACCTCACCTTCACTCCTAAATTTTGTAGGATATACATTGGATTCTTGTCTGCATTTTACCCCTACCCCTCTTCTCCTCTTCATTTCTTTACCCCTTTCTCCTTGATCCCATCCCACCCCTTTCCAGTATCGATTTCCTGGTGTTTTGCTGAACTTTGATTTTTGCCTTTCTAAGGAATTACACTTATTTGAGATCTTCCTTGAATCTACCATCTTTCAGTGAATGTGTTTGTATACACTTGCATACTTCCTAATTTATGTACTTATGAGTTTGTAAGCTAAATCTAGCTTCCACATATAAGGGAAAACACATGGATATTTTGTCTGAGTTTGACTTCATTTAATTTTTTCCAAGACTTTCCATTTCTTCACAAATGGTACAATATCATTCTTTCTAACAGATGAGTAAAATTCCATTGTGTATATATACCACATTTTCTTGATCCATTTGTCCGCTGAGGGACATTCTGGGCTGATTCTACACCATGGTTTTAGTAAATAGTACTGCAATGAACATGACTGTGCTGGTAGCTCTACTGTATCCTGGTTTGTTATCTTTTAGGTAAATGTCCCGGAGTAGAATTGCTTCATCATAGAGTGGGTCTATGTTTAAGTTTTTGAGGAAACTCCACACTACTTCTTAGAATTTTTTATCAAGTTTACATTTCTACCAAGTATGCATTAGGGTTCCCTTTTGGCCTCATCCTCTCCAGCATATTATTATTTTCTTGATAATGGCCATTCTAACTGGGGTGAGGCACATTATCACTCCTAAATTATACTTTCCACTTTGCTTTGAGTTCTCACAAGACTCATTTGAAACAGTTACAATTCTAAAATAACTTGGAAACATTGTCATAAATAGGCTTTGCTTATGTCAATGACCAGTGACTATAGACAACTGAGGAAAGCAAATTATCCGAAAATTAATTCAATCCTTTAAGCAATGTTTATTAACCAGTATTAAAAGACGCAATGTCTTCATATACTAGAAAAACAGAGCCTACTAATGTAAGAGATACACACAACAGAACAATCTAACATACCATTGAGGTAAAGACAAGTTGCTGATAAATGTAAAAGGTAAAAACAAGTTGCTGTATAAAATGTTGACTCTTAGCAAAGGAGTTTAGTGGAAATTAGAGTAGTCCAAGGCTGACCCTGGGCATAAAAAATGAAGCAAAAGCCGGGCGCTGTTGGTTCATGCCTATAATCCTAGCTACTCAGGAGGCTAAGATCTGAGGATTGTGGTTCAAAGCCAGCCTGGGCAGGAAAGTCTGTGAGACTCTTATCTCGAATAAACCACTACAAAACCAGAGTGGCACTATGGATCAAACGACAGAGCGCTTGCCTTCAGCTGAAGAGCAAAGGGACAATGCCCAGGCCCAGAGTTCAAGCCCCATGACAGACACAAAATTAAAAAAAAAAAAAAAAAAGACTGAGTATGGCTCTAGTAGTAGTATCTCCTATCTACAAAAGTGAGGCCCTGAATTGAAACCCTAGCACATCTCCCACTCCCTGCCAAAAACTGAGTAAGGATGATAGGCTACCAAGGCACAGATTAAACAAATTAATGTTTTTATGGTAAACAGTCATGATAAATTTCTAATCTTTATTTCATGCTCTATGTACAACTAAGAAAATGACTTCTTTACTCACCAGGTCATTAGCTTGATCTATTGTTAAAACATTGTTGTTTATTCTATTACCAACTTCAATATGTGCATCAGCTAATGACGATATAAATTGTTTACATTCATTCTGCATTCGTGTGAATGGAACAGCAATTTCATCATAATATAAATGTTCTGAAAGGATATCAAGTAAACGTGGCTGCACAGCTAGGGTAACAGCTTTACACTCCTAAAATACAACAGACAACAAATATTCAGGACAAATATATAAATGTAATTTTACAGTTACATGAAGTTCACTTGCAACAATCATGTTCTAAATTTCTACTGATTTTGAATCTATGTTCTGTTATCTCACAGAACGAGTTAGTTATACAGAGAACCCTAAAATTTTAATATGACTACAGAACATGCACATAAAACTATTATAATTCCACTCTTATTCCATTCTAAATATATTCCAAAGCTTACACATACATATATACAGTAATGATTTAAAAGTATATTACAATAAAAATCAATCCAAAGAGAACATCTGGCATGCACTAATTAAAAATGTTATTAAAAATTCATTATTAGATTTCTTAACAGTTTAGCCATAGCTTCACATGCTATATGGTAGAAATGGATATATAATTTAAAAGCTACTTACCTGCCCCCAAATTTAACTAACCCTTCCCACTCTTTCTGGTTGTGGCCTGCCTCAACCAGAGGGGGACTGGCCTCAGTGGTGAGCCATGAGGGATTCTGTGGGATCTGGGTGATCAGCCTGGGTTCACAGAGTAAATCCAGAGAAGCTCTGTGAGGGTCCAGAAACCGAACTGTCAACACTTGCTGCTGAGTCTGAGAGGCACAAAAACACAGCATCACTGCCTCTCCAGCACACTGAGTCCTGACTAAAAAATAGATGAGACTTGCTTCTTTCCAGAGGCAAAGCAGGGGTCTCAATTGCAACAGAGCATGGCTGAGTTACTTTTAAGATACAGCTTTGACAAAATGATAAGTGATAGTAACAAACAACTCTCACAGCAAGTGCAGACAGTTAAATTTCCAGAATTCCAGTCAATGGAATAAACAAAACCAGCGAGAAATTTCTTTGGTTTACAGAAGCAAATCTTAAAGAAAATCAGACTCCACACTTTTAACCTGACAGGTTAAAAGAGCTTGAAAAGAATGGTTTACCTGGAAGCATGAAAATTCAGAGCTTAAATGTAGAGCTTGCTTTATTCTTGCTACTTACTATCCAAACAACTAATATTTCTAAAACAAAATGGACTGAAAATGTTCTATATGAGGGATACAGTAAGGAATGAATGAGCAACTGAATATATAACATACAGTTTCTGGACTGTTTGTATACATAGTTTTTTTGTTTGTTTGTCAGTTGTGAGGCTTAACCTCCTGAAACTCCCCTGAGCATTTTTGCTTAAGACTAGCATTCTACCACTTGGAGCCACAGCTCCACTTCTAGTTTTCTGGTGGTTAGCCTTGAAGAGTCTCAGACTTTCCAGCTCAGGCTGGCTTTGAACTCCAATCCTCAGATCTCAGCCTTCTGAGTAGCTAGGATCACAGGCATGAGCCACCTGTGCCCAGCATACTTTTTTTTTAGGGGTTACTTGTGGGGCTTGAACTCAGGGCCTGGGCACTGTTCTTGAGCTCTTTTGCTCAAGGCTAGCACTCTACCACTTTGAGCCACAGCACCACTTCTGGTTTTTGAGTAGTTAACTGGAGATTAGAGTCTCACAGGGACTTTCCTGCCCAGGCTGGCTTTGAAGCATAATCTTGGATTTTGGCCTCTTGAGTAGCTAGAGTTACTAGTGTGAGCCACCAGCACCCAACCTACATAGGTATTTTTAGTATCAACCTTTCTTAACAAAATATATGGTGAAAAATATAAGCATAGCTAAGCACTACAAGCTATGGATTGGGAGAGCCAAGAAATAAATCTAATGTAAGTAGGAGAGAAATAATGTGTAATGATAACTGGAATACTTTACTATAACTGTTGAATTTTTTTTTCTCCTTTTGCTGATACCAGGTTTTGAACTCAGGACCTTGTGCTTACTCAGCTGGCACTCTATTACTTGAGCCACCTCTAGCCCAGCTCTTTGCTGGTTATATTGAAGATGGAGTCTCTCAGACTTTTCTGACTGAAAAACTGGCTCTCAACTTGATCCTCTGGGATCTCAGCTTTCTAAGTAGCTAGACTTACAGGTATGAGTCAATAGTGTCTGGAAACTAGAATTTTTATGAAGAAAACATTCATTTCTCTGTTATAAAATATAAATAATCCTAAAAGCTAATGGAAATTGGTTTTATTTAATTTGTCTTTATTAGTTTGGGGACAATCTTACCTTTTGTAAAGTAGCCCATTCACAGATGACCAAAGCAACACTAATCCTCTGTAAAGCAGATTTGGAGTTCAAATGGAAGAGTAATAACTGTCCAAGGGATTCTGCTGGCTTAATTTCTTGGGTTACCATATTTACACCTGGATCACAAATACAGCAACAAAGTGCTCCTAACAACCTAAAATGGTGAAAAGATAAGTTACTATAGAAATTATCAGGGGGAAAACTTCCCCTATTAAAGCCCATAATTTTTCAGACACAGGAAAACTTTGTAACTCCATAAAACATGTTTTAAAATAATTTCATTTTTAACACTTAAAACAATTAAGGATATTTACTTCTTTGAATTTTTCTTAGGCTATAGCTAATATAAAGGAGGAAGGACTGAGACACAGAGGAATCCTTTGGTTAAATAACTTCTAAGACTAGACCTACATTTATGATTGAGAAGGGTGAATACTCACTTGGCTGCCATCATTCTGGCCCTCATAACTACAAAATCCCTGGTGGCTGGGTCTTCCATGACAGTGTCTGCACCTGCAATATACTCCTGAAGTACTTCTTTATTTTGGCTTTGGCCTTGGCGCAATTTGCCACCTGTTTTTTCCTACAGAAAAAGAAAGAAAAATAAAAATCAAAACTTAATTGGCAATACCAAATACTGTTATAATCCCAGTGTAATACAGCTCTTTTCATAAATTCAATGGCTAAAGATTACAATTAGTTTTGTCATAAAATGAAATTAGGTTAATGATAAAGCAATATGGGTTTCATATCTGGTTACTATATTAATAATTGTGAGTTGACAATACAAATACATGATGTCCTTCTACAGTTACCTTGGCTCTAGCTTTTACTTCTAGTAACATATTCAAATCAATAGGTAAATGAGAAGGCTGCATCATTAAGCAAAGCCAAGCACCCATCCACGGACAAGCAGCTGCAACCACATACTGAACTGATGCCTTGCTCAACAGTTCCATCCAAACCTACAAAATAAAGGGGGAACAAAATAAAAATTTTCTTTTAATATTTAACAAGTCTTAATACTGGGTTGAGGATTTAGCTCAGTGGAAGGGTGCTTGCCTAGCAAGTACAAGACTCTGAGTACGGGCTTTAGTCCAAGTAAGAAACAAAACCCAATACTTTTAAGAATACTAAATCTTTTTTTTTATTTTAATTTTTGCCAATCCCAGGGCTTGAACTCAGGGCCAGGGCACTGTCCCTGAGCTTCTTTCGCTCAAAGCTAGCACTCTACCACTTGAGCCACAGCACCACTTCCAACTTTTTCTGTTTATGTGTATTGAGGAATTGAACCCAGGGCTTCATGCATACTAGGCAAGCATTCTACCACTAAGCCACATTCCCAGCCACTAATTTGTTGTTGTCAGTCATGAGACTTGAACTCTGGGCCTGGATGCTGTCCCTGAGCTCTTCAACTCAAGGCCAATGCTCTACCACTTTTGAGCCACAGCATCACTTCCTGTTTTCTGGTGGTTAATTGGAGATAAGAGTCTCATAGACGGGGCTGGGAAGGTGGCACAGTGGTAGAGCGCTTGCCTTGCATGCCTGAAGCCCTGGGTTCGATTCCTCAGCACCACATAAG